AATTTTCTCCCAAATTGTTTATCTTGAGCTGTGATTGGCTTTCTAAAAGGTACATATGTGATGTTGCAGTTGGATGAATTTAGAGATAATTTTGTCTCCTATAATCTGCTCACACTTCCGAGGGTTTTCTCCCATCATTCAATATGCTGTTATTACTTCCTGCGTGTGACGTGAATAATTAATGTCTAACTATTTAGAAGAGTTTTAACAATGAAAAAGAGTATATTAGCTATCGACACTTCAGTGCACAGAGTAGCTCTGGGATCAATTCATCTTGTGCAGCCAGAACTTGTCCCCTCCAGCTGTTACCTCTGTTTCTCCGTCCCTTTCCAGGACCTGTTAAACATCATTCTGCTCTACTTCCATGAGCCGACTTTGGAATGTCCTCTACACCCCATCACAAGGTTTTTGTTTTCTGAGTCTTATTTTATTCTGCATAATGGTCTCCAGTTCCATTTATATTATAACAAATGATGCAGTTGATTTCCTTCTTCGTAAAGACTGAAGACATATTTTACTTGTGTATATTACGTTTTCTCTATCTGTCAATGGGCATTTAGGTTGCTTCTTTGTTATCTTAGTCTGTTTGAGCTGCTATAACGAAATGCCACAGACCAGGTAACTTATAAACACTAGAAGTTTATTTCTCACAGCCCTGAAGGGAGCGGGGCTAAGATGGAGATATGAGTAGATCTGGTATCTGGTAAGGACTGCTTTTTCTTCCAAGATGGTGCCTTATGGCCATATCCTTGGGGAGAAGCAGAGAGGGACAGCCGAGGGCACTGTCCTTGTGTGGTGGGACAGAAAGGCAGTTCTCATGTACTGCTTTTATAAGGTCACTAATCCCACTGTGGGAGCTCCGCCCTCATGGCTTAATGAACTCGTAAAAACTGTATATTAATGCTATCTCAGTGACCGATTTCCAACATCTGCATTTTAGAGCAGACCTGCACATTGGATTACAACCCTGTCTCAGCCTTTTGAAGAAGGGCAATGGATACATCAGGACTTTGTATCTTTAAAATATTTAGCACAATCAGAAAATTGGGAACCTATTTCAGTTCCTTTGGATGTGTGCCCAGAACAGGGTTCTCTCACTGTTCTCAGTCAAATGCCATTCACAGGTAGAGTTTTGGTTCATTTGGACTGTCTGGCAAAGGGAACTTATACTCTAGTAAAGGAAAAGCAAAGGAAATGATTGTGTATAATAAGGATGATGATTGAGAATGTTAAGGGGAAAACTAAGAGGGAGACAGGGAGGGGGAGAAAGGGGGAGGAGAGAGAGAGAGAGAGAGAGAGAGAGAGAGAGAGAGAGAGAAGAAGAAGAAGAAGAAGAGGAGGAGGAGGAGGAGGAGGAGGAGGAGGAGGAGGGGAGGGGAGGGGAGGAGAGAGGAGACTGGGAGGTAGGGGAGGTAGCAATATGTTAGGACAATCCAAACGAGGACACAAACAGCAACAAAGAAAAGCAGAATGTTGGGACAGCAGATGGAACATCAATTAAAACCAGCTTTTTGAGATTCTAGTATTCTCCAGATACAGCATGTTAACAAATTTCTTATTCCCAGCTCAACTTCTTCTCTTGTGTGGGTGAGGAGCAAGGCTTCGGGGGACTGCATTCTTCTCTGTGCTGTCACAGTTGTGAGTAAAGGGCAGGCACAGCCCAGCTCAGCCTGACTCCAGCGCTGTGTCCTGCTGCCTCTCGCGTGCAGGTGCAAAATCAACCGGGCAGAGAGAAGGCACAAGCATTTCTAGGCGACTCACTGTCCCAGTAAATCACAATTATAGCAAATGAAATAATCACACACGGGATTCGGGTGTCGGAACAAGGCTTTGGAGATAAAATATGAACCTGAAATTGGATTCAGGGGAGGGAAATGATAAATGAAGCATAAATCAAAATATCTTTTTCTGACACGTGGTACACCCAGGTCGCAGAACCAAGGCTTCACACAGAGGTGCTATTCACAATTATTTTATGATTGGAGATGCATAGGTTGGTGTTAGCGAGGCAGAGGTAGAAATATTTTGAAGCTTTTTTCTTCTCCTTTTATTCTGAATGACATAAAGCAAAATGCTAAGATAAATGAGCCATGAAGCAAGTTTTGAATGTAAGAGTAAACACACCTCACACCATCACCTTCAAGCAAGCATGGCGGACAGCTGAAGAAGCTGTACTTTCAAAGCTGCGTTTGCTCATCTGGACCAATTGAAGGACTGGTGACAGCAAGGTCACAGGATCTTCTGAAATGCATGTGTCTGTGTATTCAGAACCTAGTCAGTCCACTCCAGGACTTGCGGTGGATTCTATCCCTGATGAAGTAAACACAATAAAGGTGACATTTATTTTTAGATTTATTTATTTTATGTGTATGACTGTTTTGCCTGCATGCTTATGTCTGTTTGTTGGATCCCCTAGAACTGGAGTTATAGATAGTTGAAAACCACCATATTGGTGCTGGGTTATCGAACCTGTGTCTTCTGCAAGGGCAGCGAGTATTCTTAACTGCTGATCCATCTGTCCAGCTCCCCAGTTGAGCAGACTCAATCATTCTGCTTCCTTACTGTATTTGGATTATAGAAGCTCTTTCTGAGCTTCTGGATTGTCTCACTCCCCCTTCTGTATGTCCCCTTGCTCTACATGAAGTGAGCAGAGCTGGAAGCCGGGCACTGTGCTGGTTGTGGGTCACCTCATCACACAGGCTTTGACAGATAACAAGACATAGGCAGCTGCCAGAATTTAATGAGGTACTAAAGCCTTCTGATAGGACAGAGACACAGTGAGGTGACAGGAGAAGTCTCGGAAGAGCACAGAAATTAAAGCCATACCCCAGGAGGATCTCTAAGTGTCTTGAAAGCCTTATGACCTCCTGCATTTTAAGAGTGAAGAAAAGTTTTCTAGAGATACAAGCCAGAGGATGTTCCAGGAAATGAGACCAGTATGGGAAAAGGCTCAGGGACACAAAACAATTTTACAAAGGTTTGAAAAAAACAGAAAGTTGCACCAGGCCATGCCTTAGGTGCATTGTGTGGAAGAAGGCAGAAAGTGTGTGTTGACTCAATCCAAAGCAATTTAATATACATGAGGAAGCAGAAAACAATTTCTGTTTCTGCCACCTGTCACCTCTCCTTCCTCTGAGCTATATAAAGGACTCCCTCCTCCCTCTCCCTCCTCTTAGGACTTATCCTCAAAACCTTTTAATATTGGATTTGTAGCATTCTACTGGTAAATTTATTTTCTCCCTGGTCTTCTTTTTAAATAAAATGACTTGTTCTTTACTAAGCAACACATGTATAAGTCAACCATAAAACCCAGTAGGATCAACCCTACCCTGCCTTCCATGGGGCCCTTTCATACTCTTTCCAAGGAGAAATACTTGTGTGGCTTTCCTGTTTGCTGCTCCAGGATTCTATACATATAAAAGTTAACTCAGAGGCTGGAGAGATATCTCATTGGGTAGCACCTGAGTGTGGGTCCCCAGCTCCCATGTAAAGGCTTTGTTGGCAGCCTATGCCTAGAACCCCAGAACCAAGAAAGATGGGCAGCAGTTCCCAGGGGCTCACTGGCCAAACAGCCTAGCCAAATTGACAAGTTCTGGGTTGAGTGAGGGATGTTGCCTCACAAAATTAAGTCGGATAGCAATAGAGACGTACATCCCTTGTGAACCTCTGACCTGTACAAGAGTGTGCGTGGACATACACATCTTCATAAATATGTGTGCACACATACATCTCTACATACACAAAGGCACTTTAAACTTATGGCTTTTTTCTTATTTATTTATTTCGAGACAGGGTCTCACTATGTAATACTGACTGGCTTGCAACTTGCCATCTATAACAAGGTGGCTTCAAACTCATACAAATCCTCCTACTTCTTCCTACTGAGTGCTGGGATTAAAGGCATGTGCCAACACACGTGGCTTTTCTCCTTTTTTTTTAATCTATCAAATGTTAAGTTTTATACTGTTTCCACCTTGTTTTATTTCCTACTTAATATCTGAAAAGTATTTTCGAAGAAGCTTGTACAATTGTTTCTCGTCCTCCTTCCTTCTCAACGTGTGTGTGTATGTGTGATCTCGTGTAAATCCGTGCACCATGCACATGCGTGCTGTCCATGGAGGCCAGAAGAGGACACTGAATCCCCCAGAACTAGAGCTACAAGTAGTAGTTGGTCATCATGCAAGAATTTAGCCTGGGTGCTTCTAAAAGGTGGTCAGTGCCCTTAGCCTCTGACCTACCTCTGTAGCCCCTTGCCCTTGTTTTCTGTGAAGCGCAGCATCCCATTGTGTAGGACTAAACGATAATCTGCTTACTCACTCTCCCAGCCTCCCACCTCCACTGATGCGTGATTAAGAATGTACACAGGTGTTTGCAATGACAGTGCACACGCGTGCGTATTATCTCACTGCTAAATCTCTGGAAAAGGAATTTCTGCTTCTGTGACAAGTGCAGTTGTAGCTGTGATCGGTAATGCCAAAGGCATTCTCCACTGCAAGGCTCTGAGAATTCCTGGGTCCTCACACACTCACCAGAAGAACGGGGTCAAGCCCTACAATGTTTCCAGTCTCATGAGTCTGGCATGTAGGTGAACTTTCAATCTGCATTTCTACTACTGCGTAAAAATATGGACAACTGTTTTATATATTTAAGAGACCATAAAAAATTATGCTTAAAATTTTTTATATTATTTTATATGCAACTACTTTTCTATAAAGTATTTCTAACCTTTGTCCAATCTCAAGTGCCTTTCTGACATTTTATGAACTTGGTATAAATTTTGTATTTATTCTGCACATGTTTTTGGGAACCAGCATCCACTCCTACCCCTTATTATTCCCTCTCCTCTATTGTGGGGGTTGGAAGCCGAAAAGCATTCTTTATTAGCTTACCTTTTCCCTGTATGCAGTTTACAATTGTGCATGTGAGGCGATACTAAAAGCTCCGCCCACTATCCTTCAGCATGTTGAGGCAGATGAATGGACTCCACTCTGGGAAGCTGTGCAGGATTCCCTAAGTTCCCCCTCCAATAACATCCCTCAGGACCAAGGGGTGCTGGGACAGTCATTACAATTTCCTGGCGGACAGCAGCAACGCCCAATGAGATGTGTCTGCGGTCCCTGTAAGGCAATGGAAGATTGTTATTCAGAAAGCATACGGGTGCATGTAAAGTTCCACACTGTAGCGCTGGCATGACGGAATAAAGGAGCCTATTTACAATATAAAATGACAAGAAATAAACATAATTATGCAAAACCTGAATGAAGATAAAGCCCTGTCGAAGGGATAGCAAATCTTAGACAAGAGGGAAGCTATGCCTCTAGATTTTTATTTCCTTAAAATAATATTTATTTTTTTTTAATATACATGAGCATGCAGGTGCATTGTGATCCTCTGGAGATCAGAGGGCAACTTCTGCAAACCAGTGCGTGTTCTCCACCCTGTGAGCGTCTGGGGATTACACTCCCATCTTGCTGGACCCCATCTACTCTCTTTACTTTGTTTTACATATGGATTATTTATCTGATATTTTGCAAACTTTTTGGGTCTCATGGTTATTTTTATAATATAGCTACACAATGCCGTTTGCACGTCATTGGAGATGGACCTATTGTTTCTTACCATGAATAATGACAAAACAGGTTCCTTCCATGTCTGTCCCCTAACTCCCTCTTCCACAACTTTCAATGTTCGCTGACAGTGTAGTTTGCATTCTTTTTTGTACCATTTGTATATATTTTCTAGTCTTTAATGATATCCTTGATGCGGAAATTACTAGTAGAGTTTATTACTCCTTTTATCTCCTCCCAGCTTCCTACATCAAATCTCTGATAGTTAAATCAATTGCTTATTGCCAGGCATACAACCTTCTAGTTAAATCAATTGCTTATTGCCAGGCATACAACCTTCTCCACTTCTCCACTGCCTGAGGCACATCATTATCACTATTTTGCTTCTGAGGTGTGGACTAAGCTGTTTGCTCTCTTGCCTCATTCTGTAACTGCCAATTCCTGCTCTATTCACGTCATCCATCTCTTTTCATTTTCTCCTAAAGCCTTACAACTTAAAAAAAAAAACCTTTGGCTTTTATTATTTTTATTGTTTAGTATGTTTTGTTTTGTTTGGTAGAGGGTTTGAGACGGAGTCTCCTGTAGACCGGATTGGCCTCAAGCTCTCTATGTGGCTGAAGATGGCCTTGAATCATTGATCCTTCTGTTTTAGCTTCCTGAGTTCTGGGACTGCAAGCGTGCAGCAGTGTGATGTTTAGCTTTGCCTTTTCTTCCTTTGGATCATTGGCAAGTTCCTACTAGTTGCTGCTGTATTTCCTTCTGTCACTTTGCCATCTCCTTTTTAAGTTCTTCTGGGTTTTGATTTATGAATTTTGAGAATGTTACAGCTTGAATATGAAATGTACCCCACAGGGTCACATGTTGAATCCTTTTAAGTGAGGGGTCCTTCTAAGTGAGGGCACAGTGAAAGCACCAAACTAAACCACTCTATGGGTGGAAAGAAAGGTTTATTTTGGAAAATTCACAACTGCCGTGTCTATCTCTTAGTAGGCAGAGAGAAAGAATATCCAAATGGTGGCTGTCATGACTATCTCAGGTGGTAGAGACAAAAGCAGAAGGCAGGGAAAGCCTTGCCAGTCTCCAAGGGAGGGGCAGCTGCCAGGGAGGGAGTCTGCAAGCGGGAACAGCCTGGAGTTAGAGTGGATGCGGTGGAGCTTCACTGGCCAGAAAGGCCTGGGAGCCACAGTTGGGCTTTGGTGTGTGTTGCAGGTGTGTGCCAACAGAGAACTAGATGCCCCATTTATAGGAGGTGATCAGCTGTAGGGGGAGATGAGAGAAGTGACAGATAGAATCCTGCTTCACGGGTTTCTGAGGAATGCTGATCGCAGGCTTTTGTTTATCTACCAGTAATCCTGTTTCCTAGGTCACAGTCCAACTTGAGCTGAGCCCGGACTGTTATTTTGGTGCTTGGGTTCCCACTTTGGACCTAATAGTCCCCAGCTGCTGATGCTCTTTTGGGAGTTGGTAGAAACTTTAGAGGATAAGGGCTGACCTATAGGAGAATAGGTCACTGGGGGCAGGGGTGCTCCGGAAGGTAATACTTGTTCTCAGGCCCATGGTCCCTTTCTGGTGCTATCTAGCATGACGTGAATAACATCTGCTACCATCTGTCCTCACCACAGTGTTCTTTCTCAGAATCAAGATCAATGGAGCTAAGGGTGATGGACTAAACCCTCTGGAAACATGAGTCTAAATAAGCCCTTTCCCTTGAAGTTGATTTTGCCAGATATTTTTGTCAGAGGGAAGCAAAGTATTACCAATACAGTCAGGGAATTATTCGCTCGATTTTTAAATTTCATGACTAGCTTCATATCTTAGGCATTTATTGCTGTGAAGAGACACCATGACCATGGCAATTCTTATAAAGAAAACATTTAGTTGGGGACTTAAACAGTTTTAGAGTTTCAGTCAATTATCATCATGATGGGAGCATAGTGGCATGCTGGAGGAGTAGCTGAGAATCTTGCAGACAACAGGAGGTCAACTGAGAAACTGGGTAGTATTCCGAGCATAGGAAACCTCAAAGTCTACCCCCATAGTGACACATTTTCTTCACAGACAGGCCATAACTACTCCAACAAAGCCACATCTCCTAATAGTGCCACTCCCAATAATATTATGGGGGCCAATCACATCCACACCCCATATCCTTATGAATTCTCTACATTTAATAAATTAAGTTACATTTAACTTACACCTTTCCTTAGAAGGCTAATTAAAAACACAGGTAGGTGCAGGAACTAATGCTAACCTGGCAAGGCATTCTGGGTAGGATTTTGGCTTTGCTCAGAAGATGCTTAGAGTTCCCATGGCAAAATTCGTTCTCTCTAAGCTATGTAAGCAGCTTCTTCCTACAAGAGCAAAAGCTAGTAGAAAAGTCGTGCAAAGGCTCACCATAAGAAAGCAAACAGAACTTATGGCTGCTTCTGGATCATTTTTTAATGAGTTTCTTTCCTTTTTCTTTTTTTTTTTTAACCCCACACAGCTCACATTATCCCAGTCTTGGGTTTAGAGAGGGAGCATCAAACGTGATAAATTCATGTTATTACAGAGCATGAGATTGATTTTTAATCATTTGAAATCAGGAACATAATCTTTTTCCATTTGTTATGCTTTCTGTGGTAGATCTTTAACATCTGACTTTGCAAGAGGAAATGAAAGAATAAAAATCCGTTTGCAATTTACCCATTTCAGTTTTTCCTTCTGAGATGCACAGAGTAGGAAACTTGTATTTCAGTGCAACAGGAAATGAGAGAGTGGTCTTTGAACTTTCTGAGACTTTTAGGGTCACTTGCTATTCATCTGGGTACATCAAATTACCAACCAGCTAGAAGAAAATAATTGGAATGACCCGACATTGTAAAACTGCGGCTCAGCACAAGCAGGGCCATCCTGATCAATGGCAGAGACAGAAATTACCAGCACCAGAAGTGCTGCAATCGTTCTTATCAAGTCTCTAGAATTGCTATAAAATGGTTTTCTCTGTTGCCCAGAAGATGTATCTTTGGGGACCTCTACCTTTGTCGCTCTTTCAAAGGCCATACAAGTCCTTTGAATCACTGCATCAAAACCCCTGGGGACATTTTTTTTTTTTTTTTGCCTTCTTTTCGTTTTGTAAAGCCCGACATTCCGTTTTAAAGAGGCATGTGGAGCCCTAAGGGAATACACACAGCGCTTAGAAACAGTAGTTAGGAAAACCACATGAGCCCATAGAATAACATTTCTGTCAAGGTGGGAACAGGTCACCGTTATAGCACAAGGGGATGCTGATAACCACATTACGTGATATCAGAAGAACCGTAGATACTTTACATATGTAATCTACATGAGCTATTAATACTAGGTCTTCTGAATCACAAATGCTTAGTTAAAGGCTATGTAACCAATTACAGTGTTTTGGTAAATCTCAATAGTCAACTGGATAAGATGTAGAACTGCCTATGAGACAGGCCTCTAGGCATGACTGTGAAGGGTTAAGAAGGTAGGTACACATAGTATAACAAACGTTGTATTTTATTATGTTGATGGTCATCATATAAGGTTCATACTCTAAATTCCTACCTATGACCCTAAGCATATCTCCCCAAGGCTGCTCACCTCTGTGACATATCTTAGCTGAAGGTCAGGTCCAGTATCTAACAGAAATCTCTTATCCGAGGGTCAGGATCCAGGGAGACTCTTCAGCCACAGGGCAGATCATGGTGGCATCTCTCCAGATGTGCAGAGCAGAGCATTGCCCTAGGTCTCTGCTTATAGACTGTCCCATGGGCGTCATGGGGTTCTAGGAATGTGTCTGGCTATCACGAGTGAGTGATGTCCCTGAGTTCTGGTTAGTAGGTGCAGCCTTGGGTGTAGTGGGGATCCTGACTAAACTATTTTTACATGTCTAAAAGGCGTGTTTTACTATGCTCATTACAAAGACTAGCAGCATTCCCTGGGCTCAGATCCTGGCCTGTATAAAAGGGAGTGAACCGAGTACAGGTATCCATCACTTTTCTTCCTGATTACAGATGCCATGAGGCCAGCTGCTCTCACCTGCCACCTTGACCTCCCTGCCACGATGTGATGGACCGCACCCTTAACTGCTGAACCAAAACCTCTCTCCCTGAAGTTGCTTTATTACAGCAACAGAAAAAGTAACAAAGACATAATGGTTTAGGTTTTCCCTTCCTAAGTCTTATCCTGTACGGATACTGGGATTGAAAAGCATTGGCTCGGAATATTTCCCCGTCTTCTGATTTCTTGCATATTGAGAATGGAAACCCTTGTTGTGCTTGTAGGAACACAACCCAAATACAAAAACAAAACAAAACAACAACCACAAAACAATCAATTTCTGGTCCTGTAATGAGTTTTTTTTTCTTTCAGGGTCTATCTTGTCTCTGAACACATTCTTTATTAATCCATTTAATCAGATACTGTTAGAGGCAGCTGATTTTTTTTTTGTGGGTGTGTGGGAATGGGAGCAAATTGGTCCATTTGGAAGTAAAGTGGCTAACATCATCACCATGTAGGCTATAGTGCTTTAAAAATCAAAGACATTAGCTGAGCCATAGTGGCGTACACTTTTAATCTCAGCACTCAGGAGGCAGAGACAGGCAGATCTCTGTGAGTTCGAGGTCAGCCTGGTCTACAGGGCTGGTTCTAGTTCAGCTAGGGCTGTTATACAGAGAAATCCTGCCTCAAAAAAACCAATAAAAAATAAATAAAAATCAAAGACAAAATTAACTATGTAAGTTGTCTCTTGTGCCTCAGACTGGATCTGAACAGTTTTGCCTGGTTCTCCTCACAAGAGCATCTCAGAATGTTGCCCTTGGCATAACTCTGGCAATTTCTCAGTGATTACTTGAGTCACTGTTCAGATTGTCCCTCTCCATCTGCTGCTGTGACCCCACAGTAGCAAACCTAACATCTTACACTGCCTGGGGGGCTGTTTATTTGACCCTTGAAAAGCTGCCAGGACCTCTTCTCAAGCTTTCTTAACTAGCCCTTTGTAAACCTCCCCTTATAGCTGGCTGCAGATGGTCTTTCCATACTATGCAGGATACTAGAACCCACCAGAAGCATCTTCAGTTACGGTGCCTAGCACACCAGTGGGCACAATTATCAGACACAGTAGGACATATCCAGTATGAATCATCCTAGAAAAGGCATTATGGCTTTATCTAGAGAATACGATAATGAAATGCTAATTTTAAGGAATACAGGATATTCAAGGCTATCAAAAACAGTCATCTTTCACAGAACCAAGGTGTCCTTCTGACACAAAAATCACAGAGCTTGGCATAAAAAGAAAGGTCTGCTTTTGCTGAGATTTGGTTCTCTCCAAAACATCTACTAATTTACTACTGAATGAGCTAAATGTGCAGAGCTCAGGTCTAGTCAAACAGGGAGAAACATCTCCTAGCAGCTCTTACCTGTCTAGTCTGGCTAATTCTGGTTAGGAAGGACGCACCTTCCACAGCTATGCATACATGAAATGACAGAAGAAACGAGAGTCCCTTGTCCCCAAGAATGTGCAGGTTCACCGTGCTCAAGTAACGCAACCTTCAAAGACTGTAAGGTTAAGCTACTACTACATTCTCCTCACAGAAAGATGATTCTCAGCTTGCCTAGAACAGCCTGGAGTCCCCCACCATCTGTACTGCATTAACTCTGCCTCTGGCTCTCTGGCATGCCCTGCCATGACACATCAGCTATGAAACCACCAACTCTCTCTTGAAGACTGTCTGGAAATCACAATTCAATTTCCTAGTGTCCAGTATTGTGTGCCTTGTAAATTTCTAAAATGAGGAGCAGTCAGACTGGATAAGGAGCTACTGTAAAAAGTTACTGCTGTATCAGGTCATCCTGGTGTTCAATACCATCTGCTCTGGGGTATAATGTACAATACCAGGTCACTTTTTATTATATTTGTAATTACCTTCTTGTTGTGGGGAAGCTGCTTGTTCATTTCCAGGTCACCCAGACTCCTGAAATAATCACACAGAAACCATATTATTTAAATCACTGCTTGGCCAATTGGCTTTAACTTCTTATTTGCTAACTCTTACATCTTAATTTAACCTATCTCCATTAATCTGTGCATCACCACAAGGTTATGGCCTGCCAGCAAAGTTCCCCAGTGTCTGTCCCCAGTGGTGGTTCCATGGCTTCTCTCTGACTCCGCCTCCTTTCTCCCAGCATTCAGTTTTGTTTTCCCTACCTAGCTCTACTCTACCCTATCAGGCCAAGCCAGTTTTCTTTACTAATTAACCAATCATATTCACAGCATACAGAGGGGCAGTCTTTTTTCAAAAGCTTGGTGATGTGAGCATTGAACTTATCTTATTTACTTATGCAATCAAGCCAGGGATATAAAGACAGATAATAACATCCACTATGACTCATAATGTCACCATTTAGTTTATGTTATGGCTATTCTTGGTTGTCATCCTAACTGTATTGGAAATGAACTACAATTCAGAAATGGAGGGCACACTTGTGATTCAGATTTTTGAGGCAAGAAGACAACATACCTTTGATTCGAATCTTGAGGTTGGAAGATAACACGCCTTTAATTCAGCTCTTGACACTGGAAGGCACACCTTTAATCCAGGCCACACTTTCTGCTGGAAGCCTATATAAGGACAGTGGAAGAAGAAAGGGTTTGTTCATTCTTCATTTGCTGTCCTTCCCTACCTCGTCAGCACATCATTCCTTCACTGGCGTTGGAGTCTACTTCTTTGGGACTCCAGCATATATAGGAGACCAGTGGAGACTCCCAGTCTCGTGGGACTGAACAATAGCTAGATTCTTGGGCTTTCCATTCACAGCTAGCCTTTTTTGGACTGCAGCGTGTAAGTCATTCCAATACATAGTCACATAAGCATGCAAACACACACACACACACACACACACACACACACACACACACAGAGAGAGAGAGAGAGAGAGAGAGAGAGAGAGAGAGAGAGATTCATTCCTTAAGTTCCGTGACTCTAGAGAAGCTTGAGTAATATAGTATGGACGTTCAATACATATGGGATACATCACTCTTCCTGGATCTGTCTGAGGTACTTGGGATTGACATTGACTTCAGGGTTTGCCATGCCCTGCTTTATCATATTCTCGTCCCATTCTTCACTTACCAGAAGAAACTCCAGTGTTCTTCACACCAGTGTAAGCCTGACACAGAAGGGGCTCATGAGATGGATTAATAAATAAATAATCTTAGGAAGATTATTTGGTGTTCAGTGGGTAATATGAATTCGGGAACTTAAGCAGAGAAAAAAAAAGAACAAAGAACCAGGTCAGATTCTCCTGTCAGACCCAGCCCATGATGGGAGGACTGGGGGGGGGGCTGTTGTAAGTCTGTGTAGGACAGCAGGACACTTCCCACTGCCTTGTGCACGATCCTGCAGAGTCCCCAATACATACATCGTGGATATAATATGTGCACCTTTTAGTTGGTGTTACAGAAGCAGTATTTTAAAACACAGGAATCAAATGCATTTAATCCTTGTGGAAAAAAAAACACTGAGTTGGGGATATGGCTCAGTGGTTAAAGCACTTGCCACACAAATGGGAGGATCAGAATTTGAATCCCCAGAACACACGTGAATGTCAGGTGTGCCTGGTGACATGCCTATAATTCTAGCCCTGAGAAGGTGGAGACAGGGAATGCCAAGGACCGGCTCATAGCCATATCAGCAAGCTCTGGATTCAACTGAAATCCCTCGCTCCAGGAATAAGGTAAGCAGCTGAGGAAGACTGCCAACATCAGCCTTGGCCCTCCACACGCACACTTGCACACATACATGTACCTGCACACATGCATGCACCCGTTTACACACAGAGACACCACATGCAGATCCATGAGGGGAAAACGGTAAGACAGCCGAGTGAATCAGAGCACAGACCTGTGCTGGAGTTGAATCAGGCAGGTTGGGTGACTTCAGGCAAGTTCAAACTCTGCTCGATTTCCTGCAAAATGGAGATGATGTTAATGATAGTATCTGTACTAACTTTGAATAGTAGTTATGGAGAGAGGACAAATTAATATTTGTAAGAGTCCTATAAATATACATCAAATTTAAACAGTTGTCTTTGAGGGGATGAGAATAAAGATGTTTCAATGTGTGTCAGTCACCAAGGCCTCTGATTTTGTTGCAAAACAACATGCTATATTTCATGACTTCTTTGGGGTATGCAGAAGTCTACTGTCCCCATGTGAGATTTACAGGAGCATGATTTATTTGTCTGACCCTCATGTCAGGTAGAGAATCATCCTTCTGTTGTCCAGTGAGACATCTGAAAAGAAGCCTCTAGTTCATTACTCATGGGTGGTTTATTCCATCCCAGCAGTGGTGGAATGACCATTAGGGGCTGGAAGAAACTATTCTGCAATCCCCTTTTGTTTGCTGGAGCTAGAGGGGGAGACTGCTTTTCAAACAATCTAATCGTTATCTATAGGGCATGTGGCTCAGTTTGGTTATGGGTTTAAGTGTTTTCAGCTGCCTCAGGGAGGGAAAGGACAGCTCATCTCCATCCTACAAATAACTGTTTCTGGCGAGCCCAGCAATGTCCATTCAAATTCTGAAATTACCAGATACCATGCATCTTATGAACCCATTTGAGTTGTACAGTAGAAGATGCAAGTGACCAGAGGGAGGGCAGATCTTCCTTTGTCACAAGGCTGAACTTCATAAATTTCCCTCTTTTTTTCTGATAAAGTAGGTATCTTGCTGAGGATAAACCAAGAGAGAATTAAGATAACACAAGAGGAAATGAGCAGAAAATCAAAGTGATTGGAGTTTGAGGATAAAAATAGACCCTATAAACAAAGTGGTTCAGTTGGTAAGAGTCGGGGTGGAAATAGGCTACTTGTGGGATGCCGATCCACACAGCACCCAGAAAGCAGAATTCCTACTTAGTGTCCTACCCAAGCCTTCCATCCTGCTGTTATCATTAGTGCAATCCCAGCTCGGTGTTCTCCAATGATACAGGCATTTGTTTGCAACCTTCAGAGATCCATAGAACAGTTTGCAACCAAGACTTTCATTTTGAATTTGAGGACAATCTAAGTAGAGTGACACTAGACAGGTTTCCAAAGTCCATTCCTTTGTCCCCTTAACAACCATCCAGACTATTTCACCTTTGAGGATCAAGCTCCAAGTCCTCCCACACACATATGGTAGACATGGGACATACGGGACTTCAGTGGGGTACCTGTCTTCAGTCTGTGGACCTCCCAGCCTGGAGCTGTGTAACAGTGACGCTTGAATGCCTGCCCCCTTTGCTTCACCAGACTCTACTCTTCACCAGAGAAGGGCTGAAAAATCACCACAGAACGCATTAGAAACCCCTCCTGTGATGAGTTCTACACATGATTTCCAAGAGACAGTGTGCTCGAGAGGCATGAGGAAACAGAGAGAAGCCAAAAAGATGACCCAGACAGTTCAGGTGTCCGCAGCCCCCTTTCAAAGTGTCTGATGCTTGCAGGCTTGGAGGAACATAGAAGGTATCAAAAACCATGTGTGCAGCTGATGGAGGAAGGTCATTGGTTAAATAAAAAGAAACTGCTTGGCCCTCATTGGTTAGAAGATAGGTGGGAGGAGTAAACAGAACAGAACGCTGGGAGGAAGAGGAAGTGAGCTCAGAATCCACAGCTCTCCTCTCGGGAGCAGACGCCTCAGAGAGACGCCATGCTCCCAGCTCCCAGGCAGACGCACGCGATGAAGCTCCGACCCAGGATGGACACAGGCTAGAATCTTCCCGGTAAGCGCACCTAGGGGCGCTACACAGATGATTAGAAATGGGCTAAATTAATATGTGAGAATTAGCCTAGAAGTGGCTAGATAGAAATGGGCCAAGCAGTGATTAAATGAATACAGTTTGTGTGTTGTTATTTCGGGCATAAGCTAGCCAGGCAGCCGGGGTGCTGGGGATGCAGCCCCGCCGCCCTTATTACTACATGCAGCTCAGTGGGCAGTTTGAGTCTTAAACTGTTTGTTTTAGTGAGACAGGATTTCCCTGTGTAGACTTGGATATCCTGGAACTCACTGTTCTTCAGAGATGTTCCTGATTCTGCCTCCTGAGTGCTGGGATTAAGGGCTTGTGCCACTACCTCCAGGCGCAAGTTTTTGACTGGGCTAGCTGCATGGATTGTGACAAGCATCCTTCTCCTAGAATTCACAGGTCCCAGGTTTGCCCAATAGAAGCAATCCAAGGCCGTCTGGTGAGCACAGCTCAAGTTTTCCGGGAATCTCCCAACAGCAATGCCCTTCGTTGTTTAGCTGGATATCAGTCACTAGCATCTTGACACAGAGATTAAAGCAGATTGTCCTCGGTCTTAGTTACATTTCTAGTGCTGTGATAAAATGCTGTGACCAGGGCACCTTATAAAATCAAGTGTTTAATTTGGGATTTACTGTTCCAGAGTGTTAGAGCTCATGAGCATCATGGTGGGGAGCATGGCAGCAGGCAGGCAGGCAGGCATGATGCTGGAGCAGTACCCAAAAGCGCACATCTTAGGACACAACTACACACGAGGCAGAGAAAGAGATTCTGGAATGGCATGAGTCTTTTGAAACAACAAAGTCCAACCCCAATGTATGACTTCTCCAAGAAGGCCACACCTCCTAATCCTTCCCAAGCAGGAAATTCCACCAACTGGGGACCACGTGTTCAAATCTGTGAGCCTATGGAGTCAATCCAAGGTCTCCACACAGTCAGTATTTCTTGTGAGAAGATCACATATAACTCTTCTGCCTCCAATGATATGAGGCATTCTCTCAGGCAAAGAGAACTTGAAGACAGCATGCTGTCGTCTTCTCATTAACTTCTTTCTCTCTTTAAACAGAGACCTGCCAGACCCCACCACAGAACTACGCATCCCATCTGCCTTTCTTAGTTTCCAGGTGCTGAGAATGACTTGGTGTTACAAAAGGACTCATCTGCATAAGACAGTCTGGTGATTATCATGAAGGCCTTACTAGAAAACTAAGGGCCAGGGTTTTATTAAACAGAAAATACTGGAATGTACTGGAAGGAAAAAAAAACCCTACAATGTTCTCAATTGCTTTGGAAAGAAGATAAAACCAGACCCTTGCTTTTGTGTGGCATCGGGTGTGCATAGTTCATTTCTGCAACCAACACACACATCATGATCTAACCTGCCTGTTCTTTTGATGCCATATTAAATACCATGGCTTCCCATTCTGTTGTACTGTGCTTTTGAGAACAGCATAATATGAGAGTAGCATTTTATATTTTTATGTCTACTTATTAACAAACGCATACAACACCCATTATTTGGCACATGTCATGCACAAGACATAGTGTTTTCAAAATTGAACAGGATATAAAATCTATCTTCAAGAACCTCATGACTCTTGCTGGGTGGTGGTGGCACACACCTTTAATCCTAACACCTGGGAAACAGAAGCAGGTGGATCTCTGTGAGTTCAAGGATAGCCTGGTCTACAAGAGCTGGTTCCAGGACAGGCTCCAAAGCTACAGCGAAACCATGTCTTGAAAAAAAAAAAAAACGAAACAAAAAACAACAACAAAAACTGATGGGGGAGAGTCTTCTGTTTTGTGTTAATTTCATTGGTTAAATAAAGAAACTGCCTAGGCCC